TAATCACCAATGATGGTTCGGACTATCATCAATGTTGTCTAAATATAAGGCTTATTTTGTTTTTATAAATCAGCCTAACCGGTTTTACTGTAATGGGTATTTTCATTTTTTTATTTTTTTACCAAAAAAACATTATAAAAACATTATAGTAAATGATTTGGCTTCCCCCTGCAGACCCTCTGAGTACCCCTAGGGGTCACGGACCCCCTTTGGGACAACTTCTTCTCCTGTTTCTGGATCCATTAGACCTCTTTGTGACATTTGATCTCAGCAATTAGCTTGGGTGAGTGTGTCAGAAAAGGACAGAGGCTGTAATAAACTGGAGTTTCCTTTCATTGCATGTGGAAAAACAAGAGACTTCAATCAATTTAGAACGTATTAAACATGTATTTCAATGTGTCAAAAGAGGACAGCGACAAACGGTTCAATACATGAACTTGTTGCAGCCTTCCACATCGTTTGCACAAGATTTGAATCAAGCCCATTTCTATCTGGTATTAACATGTGTGGAAAGTGTCGATAGGCCTTTGAATTCACACCTCGCGCTTTGACGCTGCTGTCCCCAGTGCTACTGAGTAACGGTCTTCACCTTGCTTCATGGACGAGTTCATTTATTGCCATCCGAGTTAGCAGAATTGGAATCTGTGTACATTAACCCCTGCATTACAAGGCAGATTCACTGATCCAGATACAGATCTCATGTTAATACCAAGTGGATTCGGGGTCTAACTTTTCTCTTGAGTTTTGTCCTGAAGTTGGCTATCATCTGTGTGTTTGTTAGTCTCTGCTTGTTGGACATGTACAGCAGACACCACAGGGTTTTTCATACTCCAATGTGTTTACACGTGCAGTTGGCAGATGGGCCGAAAAACGTTTTGGTTCATGTGAAAATCTGCAAGAAGTTCCCACTGAAGCTGCATTCACATGATACGCGATTTGCTCTTCGCCCACCTTGAGTTTTGGCACAGAGTCTTGCGGGCGACAAAAGCTAGTTAAGTTTTGTTTCTATGGTAACCTCTCCTGCTAGTTTGCGCCACTTCATGCAGCTGACATCTTATTGGTTGCGCGTTGAAAGGTCAGCAGTAAACGAGTTAAAGGTTTAGATAATTTGAGCGCAGTGCTCCTCGCACCCAGGAAGTGCACCAGCAAATGTTGTAGTGGCCAAACATTTGTACTACAGTCCCTTTCTTTTTTCCATTGACTTGAAAAACTCAAGTGCTTATTCTCGCTGGGCAAAATCCCCTAATTGATCCAATACCTTTTGAATCTACAGTCGCTCCATTTAGGGATTCATGCTCCACTGAGGACATTTCATAAGAATGAACAGTGCCCCGCCTCCGACCAGTTCCCTTTATACATCAATGTGCGTGACTCTGAGTGTAGTGAGTCACCTATTCACACCGCTCTCTCTATTGAAACATAACAGTAACATAATAATAATAATAACTTAGATTTATATAGCGCCTTTCACCCAAGGTCGCTTTACAGAAAAACAGAATGTCAGCGCAGAGCAGTTTTACCGCCTATCATGCGAATGCAGCTTCAGAGACATGGCCAGGTGAGAACATATGGACACAGACAAGAACACCAAACAAAATCGGACTTTATTATTTCAAATGTTTGGAGTAATTGCAGGCAAACCATATTCTGAGGGAAGCCTGTAGGTCTGCCTCGACAGTCTTCTCACACGCAGGGAATGAGGCATGTCATGGTGCTTATTTTTACATCATTTTGCCAAATTTGTTGCAATTAGAGAAGCTCTGACCAGACTCCCCTAACGTAGAAAACCGTTTGTATTTTGGATGTCCACATGAAGGCAGGACACGCAGTAGAAGGAGCGCCCCCACCTGGCAGGAAGCAGATGTACTGTGTGAGGGTTTTGGGGATATGATTATGTATACATCTCTTTCCTCCGCTGATTGTAAAGCCCATTAATGATTCAGTAGAATGGGATGAAAGTGCAATAGTTTCTTCTTCTACAAAACCTGACACTCTCCTGACAGGTTAAATCATTCCTTCCCCTTTAATTCATATTTTTATAACGTTATGTACAAGTTTTGTTCTATTTAAGGAGAAGGAAAGAGGACTGAGTATGTCCTAGTTGTATATAGACTTTAGAAGGTGTTTATGAATCAGATTTATTTATTGGAAATGACAGGGACATTGTTTTTTTGTTTGTTTTTTTACACAGATGTGAAAGTGCCAATGATAAAAGGAATGACTTTAAATGTTAAAAGCCAAAAAATGGACCACGGCTGTTTCCTGATTTATATTTTAAAAGAATCTCAGGCTTGGGAACAAAAATGGAATAATGTGTCATGATTCCAGGTTTTGACTGCGACAGAATCTTTTTTTTTTTTTTTAAAGCTAAGCAGCAACACAGGACAGTGAGAACGCCATCTGGAGAGCCAGCAGGGCCAGCCGATGATGAAGTCGACAAAATGATTTAATCTTGTGGTTCTAGTTGTTGTCGTTCCATTTTGTCCGGATTTGATTCAAAACTTTGATTCCTCTGCACATTTTTTGTGATTTTTAATTAGATATACTGTAGATCCCAATTCTGGTTTTGAAGTATTTCTCATTCTGTGTACCCTCCTTCATTTCAACTGTCATCGTAAGGTGAGTTGATTAAAAAAAATCCAATAAAGATGAGTCTCAGTGTCATGATTACTGCACAGTAGGTGGACACTGCGGCACAGTGGATGTCTCAACATCTCCGTAGGTGGAGGCTGACAAGAGCAGCAGAGGTGAGTCATTCAAACACTCCAACTGTAATAAAGTGTAGAAGCAAAAACTCTTATCGTCACAGATGCTGCACTTCCCTGATTTAAGCCATCCTTTAATTGTCTTCAATTTGTTATACATTGGTGCTTTGCAGTGGCGTTTTTATATGTACAAAAGTGGTGGGGCACAAAAAACTTAGATGTCTATATATAAGCTTCTGCAGTGACGTGCAGTGAGGTTCATGGCTGGTGAGGCACTGGCACTGACTCTTCAGGTTTACAAATATTATATTTTGACCTAAACCAAAATATAATATTATTTTCAAAAGCTTTTTTTGTCTGATGCTTCGATTAATTTTAAACAGACAGTTCAACAAAAGGATACCCAAAAAATGTCATTTTATCATTTAAATATTGAATTGTTCTCTCTTAGTAAGATCCCATTTTCAATAAAATGGCGGTCTTACCTTGACTTGAAGATGAAGTCCATTTGCCTATCCTTCTGGACAAACATTTCTATTACTTTTTTGTAAAAGTCCTCCTTATCTTCTTGTAGTTTCAAAAGTCTATCATAAATCTAATCCATAGATTTATGATAAAAAAATTATAAAAGTAGGGTAGACATGTGGATATTATCCGGCTAATCAAAACGTGCATTTATCTAACAGGTACGTTTCCCACAGATCTTATTTCGAGCTATTTTCTAAAATCCTATGGAGAAACCTCATTGCTTTTTTGTCGAGGGAAGCCATGCGCAGCTTACTTCCTGGTTTTAGGACGCGTCACTGCAGCTCTCTCGTCTCCTCTTCACACAGCACACTTTTCGCGGCACACATACTTACAGCCAATCAGCTCTGAATGATGTGAGATGACGTATGGTGGGGATGGTAGCTCCATGCCCCTCTGGTCATTATTTTTTTGCCACACACATTTCATTACAAAATACTCTGAGCATGCGCAGTGTAGTTTTTACAGTCACCGTTCACTTCACAGTGAGAGGGAGGGGCATAATCAGGTTTTGTCCCACATGGCTCTAAACAGCTCAATAGGCACACACTGTGACTGTAGACACACTAATTAGAAGAACACAGACTAAAACAGCAATGTACAGACGAATCAGATGATTAAACATGATCTTAAAATATATTTTTTTATTTATGTTTTGCATTTTTTGTAATCATTATTTGTAATACTTTCTGCTGACACTAGGTGGGGCTGTGCCCCACCTGCCCCTAATGACCAGTCGCCACTGGTGCTTTGAAATAAAAGCAAAGAAGAAGAACCTAGACTAACAACTAGGACCATTATTCACCTGTAAATATATAGATGACATTATAGCATGCTGTACCAATACTCAGGGTTGTGGAGGGTTACTCTAAAAATGTATTCCGTTAACATTACAATTGACCTGTTAGACAAATTAAACCATTAACATGGTCTGAGTATCAAAATATACCTCAATATCAAATGCAATGCATAGAGAAATAATTAACAATAAGATGTTTTTTTATTTAAGTGTATTATGTAAGACAACAGAACAATGTGACCTTAAAAAAGAAGAAACCAAGATATTTATTATCAAAAATGTCTCTCTGCTCAGTGATTTTGCCATTCATTCAGCATATTCAGGCAGCAATCAATACACCAACAATGAAACACATGAGCACATACTACAGTTTAAAAAAAAGCAGAAATAAAATCTGAGCTGACAGAAAATGCTCCGTTTTAGTTTAATACACACAGTTCAGCTCACACACACTATTTTATGAACATAGGTTCACGTCCTGAATTAAAAAAAGAATGTCACATTGACATTATGGATTACTAGCACCGCTACAAAACATTTTAAATAAAGAACAATATGTACTAGAGCATATTGTCTTTTTTGTGAAAGTTGCAGATTTTATATTTGCTTTGAGAGTCACTCACATTGTTGTGTAGGCCCATACTTTAGGGTGGAATCTATACGCCTTCTGTCTGAATATTAATAATGGTTTTCACTTTCTTTGGTTCTTAATTTTTTTTTATTCAGTAGGTGACCCTATGTTCATAAAATAGTGTGTTTGAGCTTAACTATGTATTAAACGAAAATTGAGCAATTTATGTTAGCTCTGATTTTACTTTTTGATCTTTTAAACTAGTCTGTGCTCATGTGTTCATTGTTTGGTCACCATTTTTAAAGGTAAGCTAAATGAGATGCACAGCGCCCCTAGCGGCGACGCAGCGCGCGCAAAAAGACGTGGAGGAATTTCCGCTGACGTCACTGCGTATGTCAGGGCTGCAGCTGTCTTAGAGCAACAATAACAAGCTCTGCCACATTAACTTAGCACGGCTTTAACGCTCCCTGACAGCGCCAGATAACACCGAATCTCGTCAAAATGTGGCTCTCGGAATAACTTGGATCTCTGTTTCCTCGTCGTCCGAGTCGAACACCAGGGTTACCGTCTCCGCCACCGCCGCTCCAGACCCGGAGAGTCGGTCGCAGGGGGAGCAGGGCAGGCAGGGCTGCATCTGGGTCAGTGGGCCTGTTGGCGGCAGCACCGGTGTTATCCCCGCGGGCTCACATTGCGCCTGTCATTCATTTTTATATAGCCTACATACCCGCATAACCCGCGGTAACATGCAGGGGGACGGGGCAGGACAGGACCAAGACTCAGAACTGTCCTGCCGAAACGGTGCGCAGAACGGCGAGTCGTCCTCCACCGGAGAGGCTCACTCCAACGGGCTGGAGTCGGTGACTAACAATGGAAACACTGTCAACAACAACAACAACGGAGTGTCAGCACCGCCGGAGTCCAACAACAGCAACAGCACGGTGGACACTAGGAAGAAGAAGCGCCTGTCTCAGTGCGAGGAGGACGTCATCAGGCTCATCGGACAGCATCTCCACGACCTGGGGCTCAAGTGAGTGAGAAACAGAACCGAATCACCCCCCCCCCCCCCACCTCTGCCGAACCATCACACACTTTGATGCAGCCATAACAATATAAATATAATTAAATACGATGTCAATGATGTGCTCGTAGGTGAATTTGTCTTTTACATAACAAATGCATTTCCATTGTTTGCACTCTACACTGCAGGACTGTGCTCCCAGTGGATGAGACAGGCACAGGATTTACGTTTTCTATGGAGTTGCTTTTGTTAGTTCGCTTCCTGTTTGTTCAACACAATAGAACGCCAGGCCCATTAAATAAAGACTGGTCAATATATTCAACACAATAAAAAAATGAGTTTGGCTTTGAGTTTGGGTGAGAATCTCAGTCTTTAAATAAGTTTGTACTCCATGTTATTGAATTCTGCACATAGTTAGATTGTGATAAGATGACCTGTTGAAGGATACAGGAAGTCAGAAATAGTATTAGTTTCCTGATTATTTAATAAATAAGTGATTTCTTTCTGGTTAAATTAGTCATGTTTCAGCCTGTAGAATATCTGAACATCTTGAATATAAGACCAGTTTTTAGAGCTCAATTTGACTTCTTAAAATATGTGTTTGTGTCATTCCACCAGGCCTGAACATAAAACAGTGATATTAAACAGATTCTAAATGATACGGAGAGAAGCTGCAATCACAGATTATAATGGTACAAACAACCATTCATTTTCTGTCGGCTAAATGATCAACTCAAAAAGCATGGGAATGGTTCAAACCACATTTTTTTGTATCTCTTTCATAAGTTTGTGTCTAAATCATGTTATATATCAGTTGGTCACATGAAAAGACTTCAAGACAAGTATTGAAATTGATGATAAGTGCTGAGCGAGTTCCAGGTCATCATGATGCTGATTGGTTCTCCTCCGCTGCGTTCATGTCCCCAGTCAGACGGTGGACCTCCTGATGCAGGAGTCAGGGTGCAGACTGGAGCACCCCTCCGCCACCAAGTTCCGCAACCATGTCATGGAAGGAGAGTGGGACAAGGTGGAGAGATGTTTATATTCTGAAATGAAAATCCATACTGTTTTGAGTTTTTTATAGCAGTAATCTAAGCACTCAATTTAGACCCAGTAGGAACTCTTGTTTGCCAGAAAACGATTGTTACAGTGCTTCAAATCTGTTAGTCAGTGACTGTCTAGGTTTAAGAGTTCATTAATTGTGAACAGAGGTGGGAAGTAACTAAGTACATTTACTCAAGTACTGTTCTTACGTACATTTTTATGATACTTGAGTATTTCAATGTTATGCTACTTTGTACTTCTTCTCCAGTACAATTCAGAGGTAAATTGTGTACTTTTACTCCACTACATTTATTTAATACCTTTAGTTACTTTGCATATTTGGATGCGAATTATAATCAAGTGTTAAATCAGACTTTAGTTCCACCTGGAGTAAATTCACAAGCTACCCTGCAGTATACAAAGTCATTACAACTAGCTGCACCTTTACCAGCTTTGAGAACACTTTCATGATCAATCATTATAAAACATATCATATATATAATACCAATCTTAGTATATTGTTATGCTTTTACTTTAACATTTTGAATGCTGGACTTTTACTTGTAACAGAGTATTCCTACAATCTGGTATTTCTACTTTTACTTAAATTGAAGATCTGAGTACTTCTCCCACCTCTGATTGTGAAACCTGTCCCTCTTCGTGTTCTTTATACTTTCCCCCTTTCTTTATTCAGGCTGAGAGTGACCTGAATGAACTGAAGGCATTGATGCATTCTCCCAGTGCTATAGTGGTGAGTAGCAGTCCTCAGATCAGTGACACTCTGCTGTCTCTATGCTCTGTCTCATCAACATGTCATGTATGGTGCACAAACACTGCAGCCAGAGGCACGAAGCTCCGACTAAATAATAGAGACCACCAGTTATTAGTGCGTTCAACCTATGTCAGTACTACATTTAAAACAATTTGAATACATGATGATTATAAATGATTATATGTCTGCTGTGAGCAAACATATCAAGCATGTCCAGGCAGTGTATATCGTCAGCCCTGGGGAGTAGTGGAAAAAAAGGTAATCCTTTACAGTTACATTAACCCTTAGATGCATAAGTGGGTCTTTTTTTGACCCGGTGAGGTGGTTTTCTTAGAGTATCTTTGTAATTACATTTTTTTATCATTTCATATTCCAGCTATTCCTCAAAAAACATGTTTTGGATATCATGCCATTCAAATTTTAAATTTACATTTTAAGAAATTGCAGTTTTCGTATTACTACCCCAAGCTTCCATAAGTGGGTATTTTTTGAGCCGGTGAGGTGGTTTTCTTGAAGTATCTTTGTAATTAATTTTTTTTATAATTTCATATTCCAGCTATTCCTCAAAAAACATGTTTTGGATATCATGCCATTCAAATTTTAAATTTACATTTTAAGAAATTGTAGTTTTTGTATTACTACCCCAAGCTTCCATAAGTGGGTCAAAAATGACCCGCATGCATTCTCTCAAAATATAAAAAAGAAATATAAAATTAAATATAAAATATTTCTAGTGTGAACCAAAATATAATACTAAATATTATACAAGTGATTTTCTTAACCAAAATGACAAAAATGGCATAAAAACACATATTATTCTAATACGGGTCCTTTTTGACCCACTTATGGAAGAGTGTAGGGTCCAGTCACTCGTGCATCTAAGGGTTGAAGAAATCTTAATACTGGTACATTTAAAAATATATATATTTGGGATTACTAGCAGGATTACAATGTTACAATCAATTTTAAAACAATGAGCTGCTGGGCCCCCTTTAAACCTCTATCCCTTCTCGTTTCTGTGCAGGGTTTAAAGATGTTCTATGCTACTTGTGTAGTAATTAGATTTATTACATTAACCCATTACAGCTATCTGCAAGCATTTAGGATTTACAACTAGATTTAACACAGAAAGAAAGAGCTTCAGAATGGTAGGGCAGCTGTTCGTGATCCAGATTGTTGTGTACAATTAGATCATATATAAGACATTTTAAAATAAGCAATCCTATAAATAATAACAGTAACAAAATACATCTGTAATCAAATACACTTAAAGATATGTTTTACTGCTTCTTTTCTCAATTTACTGTAGGTTATTTTTACTAGATTGAGGCAGTTTTCATTATAAAAGTTCCCTTTTTTCAGACAAACAAAGGCAGTTTTGTGCCAATCATCTCCAAATATTCAAAATATACTAGATACTCGATACTAGATGAAAATGTTGCCAAATATCATGTTACCAGGAGTAATTTGTATATTTGTATACCTCTAGCAAAAGAAGCATTCAGGTCATTGCTCTTCCAAGCCAGTGTGTTCCATTACTAGTGTAAAGAACAACAGGTTCTGTACTGAGTTTGAATGACAACATCATACAAAATCACCAAATACAATGTTTCAATTGAATAGAAAATAAACACTCACTGTAATCGTCTGCTGGTAAAGACACCTTGGTTTTCTAGAACCTTCTGTCTTGGTAAAGGTCTTGGCCTGTGCTGATGTCTTCTCTGCTCTGTGTTCTTGTGCTCCTGAGCAGCGGATGAAGTTCCTGCTGCTGCAGCAGAAGTACCTGGAGTACCTGGAGGACGGGAAGGTTCTGGAGGCCCTGCAGGTCCTCCGAGCCGAGCTCACTCCTCTCAAGTACAACACGGAGCGGATCCACGTCCTGAGCGGGTCAGTCCACACAGGGAGCTCTCACTGAATATCCACGGAGCGGGGTTATCATTTTCAGAGAGTATTCACTACTTACAATGTGTAATGTGGTGCGATGTTTCCGAGTTACATTTTTACCCCCTATCACAATTGTCAGCACAGTACACCCAGATAAGTTGTGAATTTTCCCTTTATTTCTCTAAATAAAAAGTAACAAAATATCCAAACATTTAAATACATTTTATAATGAATCCATGAACTGTGGGTTACAAACAAACATTTGACTATTAAAACTCATTTAAATGCATGTCTCATGCAGCTTGCTGTATCTACAAATGATTGAAACTGAAGAATTTAAATACTTCTAATTAGTTTAGCTAGTTCAACAGGTAGATAAGATTGCTTAATACGATAAGATAAGATAAGATAAGATAGTACTTTATTGATCCCAATCTGGGAAATGTTTGTGTTAATTAATGTGATGGCCTAACTAGAATCATGTGTTTCGCACCGCTCTCTGGTCCCGTCACACTGCAGCTGCTGTGAGATGCGTGGCCGCTGTCAGCAGAAGCCTGAGACTGGACCGTTGAGCTCTTTCCCGATTCTCGCTCACTCGTGTTTATGTCCTTATCTATCAAATCTAGCTCGTGATATGACAGCCTTCGTAACAAGCTGTCTAAACAAAAGGCATTGCTAAGGCAACCAGGTGAAGCGCCAAGGTTTAGCACAGCATTGTACAGCGGTTTCAATGAGGGGTGAACATTACCCCGTTAGCATTTCTAGGTAAAAATGCTGTTTGAAACCAGAGCCCACTCTGCACTGATTGGTTAGCTTGGGGTGAACCCAAAAAAGAGCATCTTTAAATACAGGCATCCTGCTGGTTTTTGGAAGTAAATGTGAAGAGGGAGTATTTGTAATGAGTTGTAGCACAGGGCCGGCCCAGAAGGATACGCTGACAAGGTGATACATGTGTGTGAGCAGCTGTGAGTGTGTCTGCAGCTGTGAGTGTGTCTGCTGCTGTGAGTGTGTGAGCAGCTGTGAGTGTGTCTGCAGCTGTGAGTGTGTGAGCAGCTGAGTAATGTCCTTCTGTGTTCTGCAGGTACCTGATGTGCAGTCATGCAGAGGACCTGCGAGCCAAAGCAGAGTGGGAGGGCAAAGGCACGGCGTCCCGCACCAAGCTGCTGGACAAGCTGCAGAGTGAGTGCACACTTTAAACAGCATTAACAGTGCAGAATGATTATTTATAATGTTGCCTCTCTTCTAAAATCAACTGCTTTCTACATCACTTATTATGTACTATTGGCCATTATGATCTTAGTACAGTATTATTATCTCGATAACATTGTCAGTAAAATATGATTTTCAAACATCATGTAGTCATTTGTATACTTACATCGTTCTCCTTTAATGGATTGTATGAAACCAAACAGAAGCTTTTCACAGAGCAGTAATTGTTGACATTGACGTTGTCTTGGGTCATATTTACAGCATGGATCACATACTGGTAAAACCTCATGGTGGTTGTTGAAAATGTTCAAATATCTGGACAGCTTCGACATTGTAGGGTTAACCATTGATGCTTTCACCAAGTATTTACACAATGATCATTTGATAAATCATCATCAGTAATGTGGGCTTATTGATTTAGTGGGTAAAGGCAAATAATAGAAAAGCTACAGGTCTGGTTAGTTTAGAATATGACCTGATTTTACTGTATGAAAGCCAGGTAAAGACACACACTTATATCAATCAACAACATACAGTTGTAGCTGTCATATCATGACTAGTAGCTTAGTCTGTAAGGACTTGGCTTGGGAACTGAAGGGTTGCAGGTTCGAGTCCAGATCAGACCAAAACACAGAGTGTGGGCTGGTAGCTGGGGAGGGGCCAGTTCACCTCCTGGGCACCTCTGAGGAGGGCTTCACTTCACACACCTCTCCACCAACGCATGTGTATAGGTCCTCTGTATTTTGGCCCATTTTTAAAATGTTATGTAATTTAACCAACACCAGGGTTAAACAATGTATTGGAATAATAGAAGTATCGCTTTTTCTGAGTCATATCTCAAAATAAAATGTCGATCAATCACCCAGCCATAATTGATGTGTGTTGAATCTAAGTCCAATCTTTGATATGTTTTCCTGTTGGTCACTCTTTGTGTGTTTGTGTGCAGCATACCTGCCCCCCTCGGTGATGCTGCCCCCCCGGCGCCTGCAGACCCTCCTGAAGCAGGCGGTGGAGCTGCAGAGGGAGCGCTGCCTGTACCACAACACCAAGCTGGACAGTGGGCTGGACTCTGTGTCCCTGCTGCTGGACCACGCCTGCAGCCGGTACCCGCTCACTCTGCTGGGAACACACTCATATTTACACACTTTGATAAAACCAGTTCTGAAGCTTGATTGTCGTTGACTATTCTGGGACAATTGGTTTCCTGTCTGGGTGGAAACAATATTAAGTCCACTGAACGTTCTCGATAACCATCTTCATATTCAAAGTTCCAATCATGTTTTATTGCCCTTGAGAATAGAATTGATCAAGTCTGCAATAATTGAAAATGGGCAATTATTGGCAAACCCTTGTATCTGACCATAAACACTAACGTTATGTCTTATAACAATATTGGTACTTGATGCCTGCCTGTGCGTGTGTCCTTATCTCTCTCTTTAGGAAGCAGTTCCCCTGCTACACTCAGCAGATCCTCACTGAACACTGCAATGAAGTCTGGTTCTGCAAGTTCTCCAACAACGGCACAAAACTGGCAACTGGGTCAAAAGACACGACGGTCATATTGTGGCACGTGGACACGGTAATCAAAAGTTACCTATGATCAATGTCACCTCAGAGCAGGGGGAATGTGATTTTTGACTGGTATAACTGTTGGTCAACAGGAAACCCAGCAGCTGAAGTTGATGAAGACTCTGGAGGGTCACGCTTACGGGGTCTCGTACCTGGCGTGGAGCCCTGATGATGCGTATCTGATCGCCTGTGGACCTGATGACTGCTCTGAACTGTGGCTGTGGAACGTTCAGGTACAGCCTCTCTCTGTCAGCTGTCTAGATTGTGTGCAGGGATTGGACGGTTACTTAAAAAATGTATTCCGTTACCTTACCTAGTTAGTAATAAGTAACCTTATCTAAAAATTGAAGTAATGTAACCTAATTACGTTCCGTTAGACCTTAGAACATTTGAAACCAAGATATTTAGAATTGAAAATTATTTTTTTGTATTCGAGTTTTTACTAACATTGTAATCCTGCTGGTAATCCCCAATTTGTACAAATGTACCATTCATCTGATTACATATTTTTTCAATTAACTGCAAGGCAATACAGTTAATTTGTATCCTGATAACGTAATCCTATTACATGTAACCCGTTACTCCCTAAGCCTTGCTTTGGTTCCAATTTGTTGCACAGAATCAGGAAATATTTTTCAGTGTAGTTGCACTAAGAAGGATTAACTTCACTACTTGTATAAGCACAAGGAATACCGATTAGTGTTCAGATATGTATGAGAGTTTTGTATTAATACATACTTGAAAAATGTGAGCCTTTCCTTTAAATTCTACTTTTGAATTAATAAGGCACCTGGGCCCTGTAAATGCAGGTACAGTAGGGTGGTCCTTAGTGCCATGTACATTTTCGAATTGATTTCTTTTAATCTCCAACCACCGGAATTTGTTATGATAGTCAAGAAAACTCTCCTGGTGAATTTTATTCAAATTCCAACAACATTTACCCCTCCCTCATCAACCTTGAAGTCCTTAAAATTGAAAGTCGGAAAGTCTAAGCTCCAACCCCCAGAATTCATTCTATTAGTCAAGAAAACTCTCCTGGTGAATTTTTTCCTCATCCTGACAACATGTACCCCTCCCTCATCGACCTGGGCAGCCACGGTGCTGCAACTGAGGCTAAACTTCAAGGTTGATGAGGGAGGGGTAAATGTTGTCAGGTTGAGGAACAAATTCACCAGGAGAGTTTTCTTGACTAATAGAATGAATTCTGGGGGTTGGAGCTTAGACTTTCCGACTTTCAATTTTAAGGACCACCCTAAGGTACAGTATACTGCATTCTCATTGCATTTAATCCAAACCCATGCCAACCTGCAGTGAGAAAAGGGGGAACAGTTTCACCCGATGAGAGATGTGCTCTCAGTGTGTTGTCTGATTCATGTTTCTCTTTCCTGGCTTCTGTGTTGTAGACGGGGGAGTTACGCACCAAGATGAGTCAGTCTCATGAGGACAGCCTGACCAGCGTGGCCTGGAACCCCGACGGTAAACGCTTCGTCACCGGGGGCCAGAGGGGCCAGTTTTACCAGTGTGTGAGTATCTCTCACAACTTGGTACTATGCATACACTGCAATTACATCACACACAATATCTTATAAAGGTGTGTAAAGCACAGAAGCTTAATACGGATGTTTTCATTGCCTACATGCTGCTTGAATGTGTATATGTATTTTAAATGACATTCTGATACACACTGTAGTTGAGAAGTGAGCCATGTCATGGGAAATGTGTAATTTCTGGCTTACAAGATGGACGAGGAGTCATAATGTACTGAAAGAGCAGTGTTGTGCGTTTTACAGGTATGTAGCTATACAAAGATCTTCCAGACTTCAAAGTGTCTGTAGAAGGTTTCCAGACTGTGTGTGTTGTTATTCTACAATGGCGACAACACGTTTTGCCTAGACCCCGCCCTAAACTAATTCTATTGGTTTCCCCTAAGTATAGATCATACTGAGAACACACAGGAGGCACAAGGACACATGAATCACTACACATGAATTTCAATATAGTGTGTAGCAAATTGTTAATGTAGTGATTTCGAAATATTTTGATTAAACTGGACTGTCAACAGGGAAAGGTAGGGGCAGGGACACTTTTGTAAGTCAGGATTTAAATTGTATTGACAGCTATTTGACTAAATGGTGAGAGCTAGCTAACTAGTTGATAGCTAATAAGGTTCATCGTTTAACTGTTGGCTGTTGTGTAGTGTTATGTGACAAGTTAACTAGTTTCTAAACAAGCTAATGCTATGCTAACTATTACATATATTACGAACCATAATCAGTGGAGGCCATGTGGCAAAAAGCAATGCCACATGGTTAACAGGAAGTTGTAAATGTTCAAATGAACATGTGTTGGGCCTTATGTTTCCTGCTGTTGCACAATGTCTTCAGTTTTTAAGAACTGATACATTTACTGAAAATATTGACCTTAGGTAAAATATGAAATTATGTGTGATGTACCTATGTTTAAAAAAATGCATATTGTCTGCTCCTGACTGCAGGATTTGGATGGGAACCTGCTGGACTCCTGGGAAGGGGTCCGGGTTCAGTGCCTGTGGTGTCTGAATGACGGCCGGACCATGCTCGCATCCGACACACACCAACGCATTCGTGGATACAACTTTGAGGATCTGACGGACAGGAACATGTGAGTCCCCAGCAGCCCGCTCTGTGGAAAATCAACAGCCTCTTTCTCTTTCTCTACGTCTTTCCTGTGGATATTATATATATATATATATATATATATATATATATATATATATATATATATATATATATATATATATATCATGTACATATACAAATATGTACATGACAAATATACACATATATATATGAACCTACTAATGCATGCATTTTTAGTGACAAATCTATTTGTTCTGCTGTGTTGAAGCAGTCGTCCTGTGCAATACTCTGTCTGTAGTGATGTGTGTGTTCTGTGGTTGCAGAGTGCAGGAGGACCACCCCATAATGTCCTTCACTGTTTCCAAAAACGGACGGTTAGCTCTGCTCAATGTCGCAACTCAGGTGAGCTACCTAAGCATATTAGAATACATTTAAATAGGAGATTCTGTATAAATCAACTTGAATCATAACACATGTTCCAGTGACTTAGACTCTCGATAAAACCCATAATAATGCTAGGAGCACCACAATATGCCTACCTTTCATTTGAACTTCAGCTGGTTAGATTTAGGTTTGGAAATGTGTCTTTGTGTTTATAGGGAGTGCACCTATGGGACCTGCAGGACCGGGTGCTGGTGAGGAAGTACCAAGGCGTGACCCAGGGCTTCTACACCATCCACTCCGGCTTCGGAGGGCACAATGAAGACTTCATCGCTAGTGGCAGCGAAGGCAAGACAGAATCATGTTTCAGGGTCTTTGCATGAAAAGCTGTTTTTCTGTCAGTGGCCCACCCTGAAGCTAGAGCTGTTGTTGCTGCTAGCTTCAGGGCTAACAGAGCCCCTTCACTTTGGTGTTGGGTGGGCTATGCTCAATAAAGTCAATGGGCACAAATTGACACTGAAATGTTCAGTTAAAAATAAAGTTTAAAAGTTTTTTAAAAAATGGTGTGGAATTACTGAATTAGAAATTCCCAAGTATTAAACATACAGCCAAACATTCATCTCATCACTGTGGTGAAGCAATGTTCATCCTGAGCAGTACTCCACATGAAAACGTATTTTCATGTACATAATTGCTAGTGATGATTTAAGTGAGTGAAACTCCAATCAGCTGACAGCCTGTCCTGCCCCTCCTCAGATCACAAAGTTTACATCTGGCACCGGCGCAGCGAGCTGCCCATCGCTGAGCTGACGGGGCACACCCGCACCGTCAACTGTGTGAGCTGGAACCCTGTCCTGCCCGGGCTGCTGGCCAGCGCCTCTGACGACGGGACCGTCCGCATCTGGGGCCCCGCCCCCTTCCTGGACGTCCAGGAGGCAGACGGCCTCAATGGTAAGAACACGAAAACTAGTGTGTGTATGGTGGTGGTGGTGATTATGTGGTGATGATGATGATGGTGGGGATGATGATGATGGTGGTCATGATGATGATGATGATGATGGTGGTGGTGGTCATGATGATGATGATGATGATGGTGGTGGTGGTGGTCATGATGATGATGATGATGATGGTGGTGGTCATGATGATGATGATGATGGTGGTGGTGGTGGTCATGATGATGATGATGATGAGGATGATGATGATGATGATGATGATGATGATGACGACGTCTCCCCCTCTGTCTCCCGCTCCGTCAGATTGTAGCAGCATGGACAGCTGATGGTGTGCGCTGAGCCTGAGGAGCATTGAGACTCTGAACTCTTTGAACTGATGAAGCAGGAAGTGCTCCCGTCGTCAGGCAGCAGCTTCCTGGAGACGGCCCGCGGTGCTGCATGTCAGGATGTCACCACACAGAGATGTCAGAGCAGGCACATCATCCAGAGCAGAGCCGGACACATGAAGCTCTGACCTCGACCTCGACCTCCTCCTCCTCCTCCTCCTCCTCCTCCTCCTCCTCCTCCTCCTCCTCCTCCTCCTCCTCCTCCTCTCCCTCTCCACCACCCAGGACCACCAACCTGCTCTTATTTATTATCAACTACATTATTTATTCATGAGTAGTTTACTGACTTGTGCTAGGCTGTGACATAGCGGCGCCTTGTGGACGGTGTGTTTTAGGTTTGTTTTCTATGAGCTGCTCACACTAAGCAGCAGAACCCCTTCCCCTCCTCACCTGCAGAACCTATTTAGAGATTTGAACCATCCAAACATTTGATGGATGCACCCACTTGAAGAGAATCTTAATATCCTTGTCTTTTCTTTCATGCAATGTATATTTTACACGTTTCTTTCTGCTCATAGCCAGAGGGAGTAGTTTGATGAGCATGTTTCATACGTCCTGCTTTATCTCTTCAATCCGCTGTGTCGATGCCTTCTGAGAGTAAGCAGCAGCTAATGTGTGGAAACCTGTAGAGTTCAAGGGATCTTCTGTCAACACAGAGGATCTCTGTAGTTTCCCTCATGCCATCAGTGGATTTGTATCTTTATTTTCCCTTCAGTATTTACTCTTTGATTCATCTTTTCCTGCTTACAAACAGCATATGCATTTCACTTGGTTTGGTTTAGTTACATGTTCTGAGTTTAATGGTGTTTGTTTGGATTTACTACAAATGGAGATATAATGTTTAAAGAGACACTCTGATTTATTGCTTTACCTTCAACATCACGGCTCAGTGTGAAGTGTTTTAGAGATGAGGCTGGTGTTATAATATTTTATATTGTTAAAAAATCGAATGCAGAAACCATCAATGTGTGTGTTCAAGGTGATGAAGAATACGTTACCCAGTGCAACTCTGATACAGAAGGAATAATACATATCAGGCGTTGATACACACACAAAACTTCCTAGAAGATACAGTTATTATTTTTGGTCTCTACATTAGATTGAATTATGCTAAAAATAAAAAATAAATTGCCAGCCTTCTCCTTTTATTTGAACACACCCCAGTGAGCTGACACACACAGTAACACTGATGGATCTGTAACAAAACACGTTTGTACACAATTGTAAAATATGAAGTGTAAAAGAGCAATTTTGCCTACTATGATATTCTATGATGTGCTGTATATTTATTTGTTATGGCATGTATTATGCGGCTGTGTAGAGTGGCAGGATGTCGGGTGTGTTCAGAGTTCCCATGCGGTTTTCTTTTACTGTCAAATTCAGAAAGCTTTCAGAGCTTCACACCAAATTTTCCTGACTGAAATTCACAAACTGTGAAGCCAAACATACATTTTGGATATTTAAAATGGATCATTTCGTGACATTTTTTCCAAACCGCTTCAACAGTATATTATTTTTTTTAGGCTTTGAAGTGGATAAGTGCAAGAGCGTGGGAACCCTGTTCATCATCAGCAGCGCCTCCATCACAGAACACACACGCTAGAGGAACACAACAATAGATGTCTGACTCACACAAACTTGATCTACTCAGAGACGTGGTGTTCTAGTGACTTTCTTTGTTTATCGGAGTATTTCTGGCTTCTCGCTGTAAGAAGCCACAGTAGGAACTTAGTTTGCTTGCAGGCAGTTTCTGCCAGAAAACCATTTTACGTTTTAAATGTGTTTCTACAAAAAAAGTGATTGTACTGTTCTGTATTGTATGTAGAAGAAGTGTTATGTATGCATATTTTAAATAAAGAATTCAGGGTTTTAAAATGTAATTTACCTTTCTTTACTTGATTTATACTTAGTAGAGCAGGTTTCTGCGTTCAAGGACGTTTCTTTGTTTCAGCCACTGAAAGCTTCATTTTTAAAGTTGACTTTAGCCAATGAAAGAGACCCTATTATGCATTTTGGAGTTGTCCCTTTTTTGTGGTGTGTTGTGTTTTTGTGTATGTAAATGGTCTGCAAAAGCTAAAATCCCTGTGTTCCCTCCAGAGGGAGTTTCTCTCCCACACTCCCCCACCTGCCTGAAATGCCTCCCTTGGACTTCTTTTACTTCTGTAACATAGTGACATCACTATTTAACACTCGCGCTTCTATGGAGTGGTGCCGGGATGACGTATTTACCCGGAAGTAAACTGCGCATGGGTTCCCTCGACAAAAAAGCAATGGGGTTTCTCCATAGGATTTTGGAAAATACCTCGAAATAAGGTCTGTGGAAAACGAACCTGTTTGATAAATGCACGTTTTGTTCAGCCGGATAATCTCCACATGTCTACCCTACTTTTATAATTTTCTTATCATAAATCTAATCGTCAGAAGCAAAATGCTAACGTTATGCTATAAAGGAACTACAGCCGAGTACAGCAGGGCCGCACGACTTCAACGTCACGCCAACTTAAGATCGATATTCAAAAATACAGATTCAAAATTGTACAAGTTGAAGCGTTTGTTTTAACAGTTTGCAAGAGCGCAGGGACTTGCTTTCAAGCAGAACAGGGGCAAACAAACTTAGAGGAGTGTTTACGTGTTCGGCGTAATGACGTACAACGTCCTCGACAACTTCTGTAGTCCTATTTCAGCCACTTGTTAACAACCATCGTTTTTCAGACACGTAAACTCTTCAAAAATCACCAGTGGGGTCACTGCTGATGTCGTGGAACAAAACGTGATCCGTCTCTTAAATGGGTGTCAACCACAGACCTTATTTCAAGCTATTTTCCAAAATCCTATGGAGAAATCCCATTGACTCTGAGACGAGGGAACCGGTAGTGGTAAAATGCTAACTCACTTCCGGGTTATATCTCACACAGGCTCCGCCCTCTACTGGACTCTATGGGTACTACTCTCAACCATGCTATGCGAGCATTCACCTACTGAGTTGCATAAACGTAGCCGGCTAATCGGGGCGAGCCTACGTGAATGCGCGTGCAGGCCCACAGTATAAGGCGGCTACGCCTCCTGATTGTCATCCTTTTCTCTTCAGCGAGCAGGACAACACCTGACAGAGGAAAGTAAAACGTTTGAAAGAAGAAGAAAGAAGTTATCATACCTGTCCTTCGTGCCCTGGCTTAATAGCGGGCGCTGATCCCCACCACCTCCACCAGGATATGGCAGAGGCGGTGCCATTCACGTTCACCATTCCAGCGGGGCGGATGGCTCCGTTTGCCGGGGAGGAGGATGACGAGGACTTCTCGTTGTCGGGCACTTCCGGGTCCGGCATCCATGGAAGTCCACCGCCCAGGTCTGTCCGCCAGGACTTCCCCCTGGTGATGACCATGGCGGCGGAGCGCGGCAGCCCATCTGCTCCCACAGGCAGCAGGCTGGGCAGAGAACCTCTGCCCAGCCGGTATAAGCCGGCATGTTGTTGTCAGAAAACACACCTCGCCTGGTGCACTGAACAGCTGTTTGTGTGCTTTGGGGATGGTGTGACCGGTAAAGCTCTGTCCAAGAAACGCCTGACAGGATGGCTCTGCGAGTGCATTTCACATGCCTATGGACAGGCGGGGAGAGCCTTCCCCACTGGGGTCCATGCATACTCTACACGTGGTATGGCTGTATCAACAGCCTTGTTCAACGGCGTGAGTGTGGAGGACATATGTACGGCGGCGTCTTAGTCTACGCCAGGCCCCTTCATAAGGTTTTATCTCTTGGATATGTCTGGCTCCTTTTCACCGTCTGTGCTTGCTGGGGCAACACAGGACTGGTGAGGGGGAGGGGCTGTGGGTCAGTAGGTATCTGACCCCCCCCTGGACATAATGCACTTATGTTTTCCCATGTGCGCAGTAAGCCCCATACAGGGCTGGAGGACTCTCCCCGCCTTCCCCACTAGGGTCCATGCACACTCTGCACGAGGTAAGCGTGTGAGTGTGGGGGACATAGTGCACTTGCGTTCTTCCCGTGCTCCTTAGGGACCCGGGAAACATGGTGCGCAGTAAGCCCCATGCATTGTTGGAGGGCTCTCCCCGCCTGCCTATGGGCGGCCGGAGAGAGCCTTCCCCACTACGATTCATGCACACTCTACACGAGGTAAGCGTGTGTGAGTGTAGGGGACATGGTGCACTTGCGTTTTCCCCATGCTCCTTAGGGACCTGGGGGAACGTAGTGCGCAGTGTTAGTCACTTGCAGGGTGGAGCTATGGGCTTGTTCAGACCAATTAGGCTTTACCCAGCCAAGTAAGCTGCGGCCCCGACTTCTCCACGGTCACAACCGGATGAGAGGAAGTTGGGGTGCGGTGGCTGTTAACCAAAGGCCGGTCAGGGGCAGTGTGATGGGTCGATGTTGTTGGACAACAGGGCATTTATCCATCAGGGCTCCACCCACTGTACCCATAGAGTCCAGTAGAGGGCGGAGCCTGTGTGAGATATAACGGGGGGTTACGTATTGTAACCCTAGTTATATAAGCACAGGCGGAGCCCTCTACCTAGGGGCCCTGTCTTTCCTATGCCGCTCGCTGAAGGATGACAGTCAGGAGGCGTAGCCGCCTTATATACTGTGGGCCTGCGCGCGCATTCAGGTAGGCTTGCCCCGATTGGCCGGCTACGTTTATGCAACTCAGTAGGTGAATGCTCGCATAGCATGGTTGAGGGTAGTACCCATAGAGTTCAGTAGAGGGCTCCACCTGTGCTTATATAACTAGGGTTACAATACGTAACTCCCCGTTTTAGGCCTCGTCACTGCACCACTCTATTGGCCAGTGCTCCAACACATTATACGTGATAGGCTAAGGGGCAGGACATCACTAACTGGTTGACCAATCACAACAGAGCCGACCAGCTAACTAATCAGAGCAGACTGGGCTCTGGTTTCAGACAGAGGGTGAAAAGAGGTGCTGCAGCACAGGCAGTGAGAGAAAATAAAGAGCTTTTTGAACATTAAAAGCATGAGACATGTCACAGTAGAGGCATTTAAATACAAATATGAACCTGAAAAGGAGAATATATGTCCTCTTTCAATAGACTCCAGTTAACTATCAAGTAAAGTCGACTTCACTCAAGTGAAAGATGTCGCAACCTCAGCATAGACAGACAAAGCATAAACAATAAATCATCTGTTGTTTTATGAAATGATCTGAAGGAATGTTGTTTTAATGGCATTAAAACGATAAAAACGCTGCTGAAGTTAATCCATAGGTTAATCCAATTGTCTCTGTGTCCCTTTGAAATGATTTCTGATAATCCATAAAGCATAAAAAAAGCCTTAAAACTGCTTTTTCCGTTTCCAGATGTCAGAGCTAGAGTATAGGTTCCAACTCTAATGCCAAATTACATGCGCAAAGCCCACACCTTTTTGCTTCACAATGAGTGTGTGTGGGGACTCCCCCTTCGATCTATTGGCTCTAACGGGTTCAGAAAAGAGGTGTCAACCATCAAAATCGAGCAAGGGGGGGCCAGAGATATGGAAAATCCACCCCAAATGACCCAGAAGTGTTTTTTTTTGCTAAATCTCTCTAAAAAGGTCAAATGTCACTTGTTTTGCATCAATCTTGATACAGGGGTACTTATTATATGTTGTACTTTGGATTCCTAAAGCTTTTAGTCTACTAACCCATCATCCAAGGGTAGTTTTCACTATAAGTAAAAAATAATTTTTGGACGGACACTATAATTTACAGTTTTTACGATGGAAAATCTGAATTTTCTTTAAAATATAAACATCTATATTGATTCTGACTTTCTACATCCAACACAGGTTTATCATTACTTTGAGAAAAGAGATTATTAATTTAACCCTTTTAGAAGGGAAGATATGGTTATTTGTTCTGGGAATGTCATTTTCGAGTCTGACACCTGAAAAACAGGCTCAGGGCTTAACAGGTTAAGTTAACTGTATTCGTCCAGTCCAATGGACATGAAATACAGATACAGGAGCAAAATAACAATGTATTATTATTATTATGAAAACATATTTTCACTTAAACTGTGTAAGAGTTTGTTGTTTTTTCACTTTTGAGCATTACGTTAACTTGTATGAAAGAGATTTTAGAAATGTATTGATTGCAAAGTGTAAACTCAATGCCACATGGAAAACAGATAACTCACACTTGTCTTTCACTTTTATTTATGAAACACCCCGACCCCAAAAATAGATAGACAGTTGTGTGAATAAAACAGGAACTTGTTCACTAACAGTACCCCCCCCCCCCCTTCATAATACAGTCAGTCAGGGCGTGAGACCCCGCTGCTCAGGGAACATTAACATACAGTACAGTGCGTTCAATGCAAAGTCAGTTACATCAGTGCATGACTGAGGTCAAATTCAATGATTCAAAATGAAACTCAGATTTAACACAACAGCCGTCAGAAACACACAGGCTTTCCAAACAGAACAGAACACTTGACCCCCGAGTGCAGACAGCATCCAGCTCTGTGAGGGGACGTCCCACAGACCACCCACACAGAGCGACGCTCCTCATACATAAATATGACTGAATATTAATCAGATGGTGTGTGTGTGTGTGTGTGTGTGGGCTGAGCTGGCGATCAGGGAGGAGTGTGATGCTCCTGGCTGTATGCAATAAGTCTCAGAACAGTCTCATTGGTGAACAATAACTATTCTCTCTACACTTTAATACTACACTAAATCTCTGATTTCAACATTTTTACCAATTACGCCAATTAAGGAAAAAGGAGCAACAGATCAGAACACTGAAGCACAGCATGAAGAGACATCCAGAAATGATGACAAATTATGAGAATCATTAGGAATGGCCTTCAGTCAGCTGATCAGCTGTGGGACATTTTAAAGCTCCGTCTCACGCACTCACCAATTCAGTTTCTTTTAAAATCTCTTCTTAAAGGCCCAGTGAGTAGGATCCTAAACTCAATGTTGTCCTATGGCTTCTTCCTACCAGTTTTTTTTTATTTTTTTATCTGTTGATGACTTTTTTGCCTTTTCTTTTACTTTGTTACTATTTGAAAGGCCAAACAGAGAGACCCTACTGGCCCACGATGTCTTTGTTATGGAGTCGGAGACAGAAAGTACATCAGTTAAGACCTCCAGTATTCTTCTTAAAAATGTCAAGATAAATTAAACATGCATCTAAGCAGCTCACACACTGATTGGAGGAGTTACACATCGTACTGATTTCAAACAGCTGGTCTTTAAAGCCCGGGCAGGAAGTTAATCACTGCTGCTTTATGTCAGGTTTGGCTGATAGAGGGCCAGCAGCCAGGATGTACCACAGCTCAGAATATCAGAATACACACTCAGTAGCCCCCTCATCAGGTACATCTTCGTGTGTATGTCATCATCAGTCAGTCACCATCAATCATGTGAAAGCAACTCAATGCACACAACAGGCCTAGTTGTTGTTCACCCCATGAGTCTGGATTTTGCTTCAGGCTGGTGTGATTCCATCACAATACAGTCTCTAGTTGTAGGAGATTTTGTTATGAAGTGTTTATTTTAAATATTAACCGTTGCATTTTATTAAATCAGGTCTGTCATTTCAAATCAAAGCTCAGTAAACCAGTGAGAGAAAAACTTCTCTGAGCTGTTCTGAAAGACTGTATGGATACAGTACAGGAGCAGGATGTAGGGGGGGGGGGGGGGGCAGCAGAGCCTGGAGTTTGGATTTTGGCCCCCCGCTAGGTTCTTCAGTCGTTGATCAGAGCCAGGATCATGCTGCAATAAAAGGGGGGAGATGTGTTAATACAGAAGTGACGGCTGTAGGTGTTGAATGTGTCATTACATGTTGTGTGCTTGCATGAGTGTGTGTGTGTGTGTGTGTGTGTGTGTGTGTGTGTGTGTGTGTGTGTGTGTGTGTGTGTGTGTGTGTGTGTGTGTGTGTGTGTGTGTGTGTGTGTGTGTGTGTGTGTGTGTGTGTGTGTGTGTGAGTGATCTCACCTATACAAGTAAATGAAGAAGCAGAGCAGGTGGTACCCCAGTTTGATCATGGCCTCCTTCATGTGGGACTTGAGCTGCCCTCGGTTGTGGATCTCAGTGGGGTCAAACACGCCCATGTTTCCCATGGGAACCTTCACGTACCTGCAGGGAACAGAGGAGAGCGTGTCATATACATTTATTCAAATATATGCAAAGCTCAGACTTCATGTATATATTATAAATATCTCTACAAGAACTGTCTGCTGGAAAAAGACGTTCTCAAACTGAAATGGTCATCCTCGGTCCAAACTCACTTACCTGGTCCACTCAGGATTTTTAACTGAACATTGACCATTCACTCACGTCTTTAACCTTGGCATCATCCTTGACCCCACCCTCCCCTTCCTCACAAAAACTGACTTCTTCCACCTAAAGTACATTGCCTATATCGATCCTCCCCCTCCTTCACTACCGATAAAACTGATTCATGCATTCTTTACATCTTGACTTGATTACTGCAACAGCATTCTCTATAATTCACCTGCTAAGAAAACGTCTACAAATTTCAATATGTCCAAAACTCGACCTCTGACAACATCATCTCTATTCTCCATTGTCTTTATTGTCTCACTATATATTGTCATTTTACCCAACCGTACAGACAGATGACAATGCAGATCATAATTGTAAGCGTCTTTGAGCATTAGGCAAAGCGCTATACAAATCCCATGTATCATTATTATTATTATTATTATAATAGTATGAGCGTACCTATAAATGTTCCAGGCTGCTACAGGCAGGTTGAGCAGGAAGACGAACCAGTGCATGGAGACCAGCATCAGCATGGTGGAGAGACACTGGCCCACCATCTCTGGAATTACCCACTGGAGACACAAAATGTCAAACATACAAACATCAAAATCATACATCAGCATTTCATCAAAAATAAATAAAATGGCACTACAAACAAAAGACATCATAAAATAAAAAAGAACCATCTAACGTGACTCACTTTGTTCAGCTTGGAGCAGCAGGCTCTGGCGTTGATGTAGTCACATTCTAGATCAGACAGGGTGATGATCTGAGCTGTCAGTCAAGGGGCCTCCAGCTGTCAATCACAACCTTATAGTGCTGAATGTTTTCTGTTAACGTTCTCTTTCCCTGCTTCTATCGGCTCAATTTAACTGGACAATAAAGACACACAGTGCAGCTCCTTCAGTTACAGGCTGCTTCACCTGCTGCGTCTCACAGAGAGATAATGCAGGTCCTTCCTTCCTGCAGCTGTTAGACTTTAAAACCAACACGGCCCCTGGCAGACCACAACCCAATACAATCCTGTGCAATATACATTTGTTTGCATTCTAATATTGTTATTCTGGTTGCTTCTTCACTCAGCAATAGTGCAATAATCACTACTATGCGAGTATGCGCAATACATGCATGATATGAATCTTAACACCTTTATGTACTTGTTTTTAACCATGGATGACTAATTATGTCTTAATTTTTCATGTTGATATCTCTTTATTTAATATGCTGACCTATTATTTTATGTGCGTCACCTTTAATGTAAAGGATTTCTGATTCTGATAATGATGCGTTTATCAGACATGTTTGCTATTGAGAGGTAACGCTTAATCTAATGTGCAGTGTATGCTAGTTCTGACATAGATTTTAAATATATATTTTTAGCAACTTCAAAGCATAGATCATTATGCATTTGACAGCAACATTAAATGCCCAGAACACAGACGAGTTGCCATTACATAATGCACATGGTTACTATAGAATGTTAATCTAAACTAGTAGTATATAGGTAGGTGATCTAACCTAATTATTATTTTTAGGAATATTGTAAGAATATCTTCATCAGTGGTATCAATAATAGCGACAGGGGTACTCAACGAAAGCAAGCTAACGATTTGTTTTGTTTGCCGGCCACTATGGTTATGATGAGATAAAAATAATGTTTTTAACTTTTATTTTGTGATTAGGTTTTCGTTACCACACCTTGTCATCCGGGTACTCTGCTGTTGACACAGGTCCAGGTGAACTTAGTTCAGGCTAGCCTGTCACTGACTCTGGTGAGAGAAGGCGGCTAGCTAACAGTTAGCTCGTTAGCTCTAAAGTACAGAACGTAATTCCCAGGAGCTGCGGTCCGCGGGCCGCTGGGACCGACAGGCCGCACACTGCGAACACCCGCCGGAAAACACACAGCCGAAAAGGATACAAAGTACACCGAGAGGAAAATCAGTGCACAGCAGTCCACCAGTGACAGAATGAACACTGCCGCCTCCATTTTTCTTCTTCCGTCATTGATATGCTTTTATTTCCGGCCTGTTCTCTTTCAAGTGTTCCCGCCGCAGACAGTGATATTTGACGTGCTGCCACCTAGCGGACCGGAGGTCAGCTGATGACAGCTGAGCTCACACACATGATAACACATCAGAAATATAATATTAAGAGCATGTTTTAGAGGCTAAAATAAGACTGTATAGATAAATAGAAAACAAAGGATGTGGTCAGGGGATCACAGTGTACAGGGGAAATGGGGAGGAGTGGCTTTTATTGTGCAGTGCATCACATCAGTGTGCATGTTAAAAGAATCAAATCAAATACTCAGAGAATCCGGTGAGAAAACATGAAATAACAAATCAGGCTCATCCCTCCTCTAATTTTGTTCCAGCTTCAAACTATTAGTCATTTTCATATTTTTTTCGCATTTTAAGAAATGGTTTGATTACAAGGCATACACTTAGATACATAAAATCACTATATAAAAATTCACAGATCAGAAGAAAAATAAAAAATAAACTCAAATTGATAATAACTTATTAGGTATAGCTTACAGACAGTGGCGTTTTTATATGTACAAAAGTGGTGGGGCACAAAAAACTTAGATGTCTATATATAAGCTTCTGCAGTGACGTGCAGTGAGGTTCATGGCTGGTGAGGCACTGGCACTGACTCTTCAGGTTTACAATTATTATATTTTGACCTAAACCAAAATATAATATTATTTTCAAAAGCTTTTTTTGTCTGATGCTTCGATTAATTTTAAACAGACAGTTCAACAAAAGGATACCCAAAAAATGTCATTTTATCATTTAAATATTGAATTGTTCTCTCTTAGTAAGATCCCATTTTCAATAAAATGGCGGTCTTACCTTGACTTGAAGATGAAGTCCATTTGCCTATCCTTCTGGACAAACATTTCTATTACTTTTTTGTAAAAGTCCTCCTTATGTTCTTGTAGTTTCAAAAGTCTATCATAAATGTAATCCATAGATTTATGATAAAAAAATTATATAAGTAGGGTAGACATGTGGATATTATCCGGCTAATCAAAACGTGCATTTATCTAACAGGTACGTTTCCCACAGATCTTATTTCGAGCTATTTTCTAAAATCCTCTGGAGAAATCTCATTGCTTTTTTGTGCTTACTTCCTGGTTTTAGGACGCGCCACTGCAGCTCTCTCGTCTCCTCTTCACACAGCACACTTTTCGCGGCACACGTACTTACAGCCAATCAGCTCTGAATGATTTTGAGATGACGTATGGTGGGGATGGTAGCTCCATGCCCCTCTGGTCATTATTTTTTTGCCACACACATTTCATTACAAAATACTCTGAGCATGCGCAGTGAAGTTTTTACAGTCACCGTTGACTTCACAGCGAGAGGAAGGGGCATAATCAGGTTTTGTCCCACATGGCTCTAAACAGCTCAATAGGCACACACTGTGACTGTAGACACACTAATTAGAAGAACACAGACTAAAACAGCAATGTACAGACGAATCAGATGATTAAACATGATCTTAAAATATATTTTATATATTTTTTTATTTATTTTTTTGCATTTTTGTAATCATTATTTGTAATACTTTCTGCTGACACTAGGTGGGGCTGTGCCCCACCTGCCCCTAATGACCAGTCGCCACTGCTTACAGATAATGGATATAACATTAATACTCATACATTAATTGTCACATCTTACCACCTGGTCATTATAAATGTTTCGTGTTCTATAACTTACTTCCTCCCATCTTTCATCAATGATATGAACTTGGTTTGTGATTCTCATGATCACTACTGTGTGAATGACATATCCTAAAAAGAATAGGGTCAAAAATAATAATTTTTAAGTAGTCCTGGAAACTGCTGTTCAAAGAGTTAAGAGTTAAACTAAACTTCTATCTGTTTGTTCATCCATTACACACATTTATCTCTCATGATCAAGCACTGATAAGATATACATTTTTTTTCTGCATCGAATAGTGTAAAGTAAATAAGTACATTTACTCAAGTACTGTACTTAAGTACAATTTTGAGGGACTTGTAATTTACTTGAGTACCTCCTTTTTCTGCCACTTTAACCTGTTAAGCCCTGAACCTGTTTTTCAGGTCTCAGGCTCGAAAATGACATTCCCAGAACAAATGACCATATCTTCCCTTCTAAAAGGGTTAAATTAATAATCTTTTTTCTCAAAGTAATGATAAACCTGTGAGTTGGATGTAGAAAAGTCAGAATCAATATAGATGTTTTTTATTTTAAGAAAATTCAGATTTTACATAGGTAAAAAACTGTAAATTATAGTGTCCGTCCAAAAATTCTTTTTTACTTATAGTGAAAACTACCCTTGGATGATGGGTAAGGTAGACTAAAAGCTTTAGGAATCCAAAGTACAAACATATAATAAGTACCCTGTATCAAGATTAATACAAAACAAGTGACATTTGACCTTTTTAGAGAGGTTTTAGCCAAAAAACACTCCACCTCTGAGGTGATTTGGGTGGAAATTGTTTTTTTTTTCATATCTCTGGAACCCATTGGTCGATTTTGATGGTTGACACCTCTTTCTGACCGTTAGAGCCAATAGAATTGAAGGGGGAGTCCCCCACACACACTCATTGTGAAACAAAAAGGTGGGGGCTTTGCGCATGTAATTTTGCATTAGAGTGTATACAGTCTAGCTCTGACATCTAGAAATGGAATAGCATGGATTATCCGTCTGTTTGCTCACGGATTATCAGAAATCATTTCAAAGGGACACAGACACATTGGATTAACCTATGGATTAACTTCAGCAGCGTTTTTATCGTTTAAATGCCATTGAAGACCACTTTGGAGAGACTACAGAGCCAAGGTAAAAATGTTAGCATTTTTAGCTACCTAGCGTCACCTGTTTTGATGTCTGTTTTTGTTTATAACGTCGCAAATTCGTATAATTCAGTGATAATGAGGGTACCCATCGATTCTGTGTCACCTCACGATGTGAATCGATGTCATGGATGTGTTGAAAAGATAAATAATAAGGTTTTGTGAGTGATTTTCGGTGCAGTAATCTGTTAGCATTTTTCGCTCGTTGCTAATTCAGAGGCTCAGTGTTAGCATTGTGGGTTTTCTTTTGAAAAAAAAAAAAAAAGATCAGTTAGATGAGTTTCTTCCCGTTACATGGATATAAAACATTCATAGTTTATTAAATGAACATGCCCTCAGACACTGTTTCCTGCAAGATGTTGCGGCAGTGCCCCGGTACCGGGGTCTCTCGGGCTTAACAGGTTAAAGGTCCCATCATATGCTTTTCTGGTTATTACCCGTCCCCTCGTGTGTTATGTAGCTTTTTCTGCATGTACACGGTCTGCAAAGTCACAAACCCTCAAAGTACACCCTGTAGTGAGTAAAACTCTAACACAGAAAAGACCTGTCTATGCTGCCCCAGAACGCCTCGTTGGAGATTTGTCTTTTTCCATTTTTTTCTTCCGGGGCCTATTGACGTCACTAAATCCAAATGGACCCATTCGCGGAGCTCCGCACACACACACACACTCACTCACCCTGAGGTCCGCGGTGCTCAGTGTCTGCTGGCATGGCACGCAGACCCCACGCAGCAACCAGGAAATGACACCAGTAATCCAGCTCACACTGTCCGCTCCTCGAGCCTCAAAGGGCGGAGCAGCGAGCCCCGCAACGTCCCGCCAACAAGGCACCCAGACCCCACGCAGCATTCTCATCTGTTTGTCATTACTGGTGTCATTTTCTGGTTGCTAACAAACGCCATTGTAACACACAATCTCTGATGTTCCGCTGTAACGGTGGTGGATTCATCAGAACAGAGTGGGCGAGCTGACCAATCAGAGCACAGTAGGCTCATAGGGAGGGGGGGGCAGGAGCTCCAACAAGGCGTGTAGGACAGAGAGTGAATACACATACTATACAGAGATGCTGTAAGAGAAAACCAATGTGATTTTGGAACATTGAACAATGTAAATCTATTCTAGTAGACCTCAACAATGGAATTATGATCAGTAGAAATGGCCAAGACATGGGACCTTTAAACTTCTACTCCACTAAAATTCTGAGGTAAATCCTGTACTTTTACTTCACTACATTTATTTAATACCTTAAGTTAATTTACAGATTTGGATATGGTTTCCTCCTTAGGCTCTGAGAAATAATATAACTATTAACTGACACTTTAGATTACATTTAAAATCAATTACATGTTAAAAATCAATGCTGTAGTGACACACAGCACAGACGGTAAGGTGTTTTCCATCAGCAACAATTCTTCCTCACCCATAACAAAAACTATACACCTGCTTCTGGAAGACAGTGACTCATCCTGCTGTCACTCATAAGGTGGGCAGGGCTGCAGGGGAGAATATGAGAAACGTAAGTGTGAGGAGGAAGCAAGAGGAGTGTTCCTTCAGCCTGACGACAATGCTTTAAAAGGAGAGTATCACTCTGCTGCAGGTGAAAAACCAGTTAGAGAAAGGAGAGGGAAACATTTTTTAGAAACAGAACGCAGCAAAAAAGTGTTATGGCCTGGCTTCTAATCTGTTGGCACATCACAATATTGCTTATTATCCTGGGAATGGGACATGCCGCTGAGAAGGAGAGCAGCATGCTGGGAGCTACAGCCAAAGGTACTGTCATCCTCGGAGGAATCTTTGCCGTTCACGAAGATGTAGAAAAAGAAAACAGAACCTTTGCACCACACCTCCATCCATGCATCAGGTGAGATCTTCATAATTTTCAACTTAAAGGTCCCCTATTATACTGTTTTTCATCAATATATTATAGGTCTCAGATATATACAAAACATGTCTCTGAAGTGTTTGGCTCGAAATACCAAACAGATCATTGTAGCATCCCATAATCCCCTCTGTTTCAGCCATGTTTCCAAAGTGCTGAATCTCTGTCTGTTACTTTAGATGAAATAAGGAGCCATTCCCCACGCGCCTCTGAGAGAGATTTGGTTAAAAAGAACACAATGGTGCTCTAGGAGGAGATTCAGGTGATAAGGCGGGGGGGT